GATAATCCAATATAGCAATATAAAATACAGTTTTCTCTCAAAAAACTACTCTTTAAAAATTTTGCCTCGAAATCCCGGGCCAGCCGGGCCGACCCGGCCTGCGACATGTATGTATTAGGTTGGCGGGAAAGTCTTTGTCACTCTGTTTGTTTAATCACTGTTCTCGTATATGGAGGCTGTGTATGATATCGACTCTAGTGAATAACAAGGTGATAAGAACCTTCCATATAAACAAGTCCCCATTTCCTTCCATGCTCCTCATCTGTAATTGAAACGANATGTTTCATCGTTTTTGCTCAAATTTTTGCTGTAATTAATCGAAAAAAATTAATTTTATAATTTTTGCAATGTTTTATGGCCTGTACGAACAATTTTCGAAAAGAAATAATTCATTTTGGGCCAATTTTTTGGATTTTTTAATTTTTGTGTGTAAATAACTAAATAGTGATTGTTTTTTTTTCATTCAATGATCTAGAAAATTATGAAAAGAAATGAGAAAAATTCCAAATACCACGAAAATTGAGAAAAAGAGAAAAATTTAGGAAAATTGGGAGGAAACAAACGAAGGAATATTGAGAAACAGAAGGAATGAGATAGAATTGAGAAAAAAAGCGATTGAGAAAAATTGATAGAATATTCCACAGCATACTTACAACGGGCCGGGCCGGGCTTTTTTCAGAATTTTCAGGGCCCGGCTCTGCCCGTCTCTTTTCAGAAGAAAATTTTCCTGTCTTTTCAAAAAAATTTTTGGGATCCATAGAAACAAAAAAAGAAAACCTTTCGGTCAAGTAAAAAATTTTTCAAAATAATAGTGTCCATAAAAAATGATTTTTTCACAAAAAAAATTTGGAAAAATGACTGAAATTTCAAAAAAAAATTCAAATTTGGAGAACCCGGGCCCGCCCGGCCCTGATTTTGCTAGTATGTTTTACAGTTCTCCATTGTTTGCTTTCCGGAAATTTCGAGATTTTAAAATCAGAAAGAACAATGTGACAATGAGAAGTGAAAAACTTTTGCCGGAATTTTTGGAAATTCAGAAATTGCGAAATACTGAGATTCTGATGTCCTGAAACTTTGAGATTTTGAAGTTCTGAAATTCGGAAATTCTCAGATTCTCAGATTCTGAAGATCCGAAATTTTCAGATTCCGAAATACTGAAATTCTGGAGTTCTGAAATTCTGAAATTCTCAGATTCTGAAGTTCCGGAATTCTCAGATTCTCAGATTTTGAAGTTCCGAAATTTTCAGATTCCGAAATACTCGAATTCCAAAGTCCTGAAATTCTAAGAATTCTGAGATTTTCAAGCTCTGAAATTCAGGAATTCAGAAACTCCCTCAAAAAAAATTGTACCTTCGAATCACAAGCGTTGTACCCCTAAATGAAATGGGTTGTACCCCAGAATCATTGATAGTTTGTACCCCCGAATAGTTGTACCCCCGAATTTGTGTACCCACGAATTTTGTACCCCCGAATCACCAATTTTGTACCCCTAAATCAGTTGTACCCCTTTGTACCCCCGAATCATTGTACCCCCCGAATTTTTTGCCGAGGAAAACATCAATTTCGAAAATAGCTATTTTTGAACTGAAAATGCGATTTTTGGTACTGAAACTGTTATAACTCGGTTTAAACTGGCGAGCGGATTGTAAAATTTTTAGGAGTGTCTAGATAGGCTATCCTTGACTTATCCTGAAATTTTCATCAAAATGTGAGATGACGACGTGTTGTGGTTCCCTTGGTGTTCCGGTGCAGTTTGGGACAGGGGATTATAATTGTGTACCGGTCCGCACGCAATACAAATCTCCAACTCTCACTCGTTTTCAAATTTTTGAGAAACAGTAATCTTTGAACATTTGTATTTGTTAAAATTAAAAAAAATTAGAAAATTTAGAAGATCGTATTCAATTTGAAGCGCTATACAAAATCAAAATGTCTAGAGAAGACGTCATTCAAAAAATTGATGAGCGATCCTGAGTGGGAGAGAAGACGGTATTCAAAAAAAAGTTCTTCACGGACGATGTGGAAAAATCAGAATCGCAAAAACAACGGTTGACTATCATTAACCTGGTGAAAATTGCTCGAAATATGTTGTTCTCGTGTACAAAAATGGTAGAAGGAAACTCGAATTAAAGTTTGTCAACAAACTCAGACGTTGAGATACTGTCTGAAAAAATACCCCGAAAAATTGCAGACTTATCTGAAATAGAAAATAATTTGAAAAAAAAAAGTTTGAATACATTCAAAACTGTATCAATAAATCATTCAGTTTCCCTGAATTCCATAAAAATCGTTAAGTGAAACAGCGAAAATTTTCTCTTCTTTTCAATTAAAACAAAAGAGAACGAATTTTGAACTTAGCGGGAATTGAACTTTCTGAAACTTCAATGATCGGAAGATTTTTGAATTTAAAGCAATATTAAAGATTCTACAACTTGTTTAACAACAACATTTTTCAAAGTTTTCTATAAAAAAGTGTGGGGACCAAAATAAGGGAACAAAGGGAGATATGAAAATTCGTATAGAAAATGGCCCATACTCCAGGGGTACATCGAAATACTGTACATCATTCTCAGGGGTACATTGACTGAGGGGGTACATAGTCTGAAAAGGTATATCAAGGCTGATAAATCTAGGCTGAGATTGGCCTAGATATACCCCCTGAGAGTGAGATAATTACCTAGATGTACCCTCTATGTCTTTTCTTTCGATGTACCACTGGAGTATGGACCATAGAAAATAGGTTTAAAAAAGCTGAAATCGTTTTCTGCATGTTTCAAAACGCCTTGATGCAAACGTCCAGTTTTAAAATGATCCTGACAGGCCATTCGCTTTTGCTAGTCTATGAAAACAATAAAAGAGGCACAAGGAAAACAAAAGCCCGCTGATAAATATTGCATTAGAGCAAATTTCGTTAAAAAATGGCTTTTTGTTTATCAACGATTAAACATTCCTGACAACATTCGGGACACTCGTAGCAACATTCGTTTTCATAGAGTACTCTGCAGTTTTTATCAGCCTAAAAATAATAAATTTGTATTCGAAAATAGACCCGAGTTATACTTACCCAACCATCTTGCGTTGCCAATTTCGTATTCTTCAGTTCAGTTGATTGCTCCAAAGGTTTGATATTATCAAACTGGCTTTCATCTTGATTAGGTTTTTGAGAAGCTAACGCCTATAGTTTTATTTCCACTGAACTGACCTATAAAATAGTTAGCGAAATTAAATTTTCCATATGGAAAAAATTACCATTTCTAAAACCCGATTGGATTAAGATGGATAAAGTTTGTACCCTGTAGAAAATGAAAGTTTTCAGATCATCTCATGACGGAATACTCCGAGGTCATCTTATTGGTTTAGTAGTTATCAAAAATAGCGATGGTGTAGATACTATGATTCCGTTGTACAATCCTGGTGAACACATTTGAATTTTATTTTTGACAATAAACGTTTTTAATATTGTAAAATACGAATTAATGTTATTCCTCTTTGACAAATTAATATCATTTCATGAAACAGTAAAATAATAAATCTGAAAAAAAACAAGGGATTTAAAAGTAAAATAGAAGAAATTAGGTTTCTAAGAAGCATAATAACTGAAACAAATCTCTTTTTCTAGCTTTTTTGGAAACAGTAGTTTCTAGTGGCAAATTGAAATAATTTCAAGAGTTTCAGCTTTTTTCATTGAAAGAGAAAAAAATAAATCGATTACGGATATGGATCAAGCAATGATTCGATGATTAGCTTTATTGAATTCATAAAGTGAAACAGCGAAGTTATATTATTCGTTCAAACAATATAATTTTTAAGTTTTTGGTTTGAAAAAATATGGAATTTTCTGGAAATTGAAAAATTACAGTTTCAACAAAAAATCTTATGATTTATCTCATTTTGGAGCCCGATAAGTAGTGTTCGTTCGAAACTCTGAAGTCCTGAAATTTTGAATGATTCTGAAATTTTCAAAAACTCTGAAATTCTGAAATTACAAAAAACCAGTTTCATTTCAAATAGAAGTCTCAAAAAGTTTAAAAATAAATACTGATAGATATAGATTATCCACATTTTCTTTATTTCTACAATTTTGTTGTCGCCAAGGAAGATTTTCTTCTGGAAAAAACTAGAATATCCATCTTTTTAATAACACTACTGGGGCTTATTAGTGAATAATTTTCAAGTGAAACAGTAATTTCTCTTTACTAAGAATTGAAGAACAAAAAACAAGAAAAAAGGATTCTGGAGGTATGGGGAATTGACCCCAGCCCTCTCCCATGCTAAGGGAGCGCTCTACCACTGAGCTATACCCCCGCACGGTGAAGTCGACACTGGAGGGCGTAGACAAGAAAGAGCGTCGAGGGAAGAGAAAAGGCGGAAGATCGAACATGAAGCGACTACCAGAGGCAGATAGAACAAAAATGAAGTTTCAGTTTAACGGCCAACATTCGGTCTATCGCGAGCAAATCTCCTACAATTGGCTTGCCGCGAGAGCAATAACTGCCATATATTTTTTCGAATTTGGAAGCTAGCGGCTGCTTGAAAATGATTTATTAAACGGAAAAAACAATGAAAAACACAAAAAATGTGATCAAAAATTTATTTTTCTCTTCCAATGTAGTCGTGTTGGCTGGAGCGGCGCCGGAGCTTTCGTTTTGTCCGTTTTCGCCTTTTTCGATGACCATCCAAGTTGGGGAGAAAAAGACGAAGAAGGCGCTGTAGGATAACGGCTAGGGAACTGAAACAATTCATATAGATTTTATAGCCTTCACTAGTTTCTGTACTGTACCTCAGATATGGAATTTTTTTCGAAATCCACAAATTCCTCATTTCCGAATTCTTTATCATCGCCACCTGAATTTAAGGTTTTTTAAAAGAATTTTAATCGAATCTACTCAGTGCTAGTTCAAGCTCTCCTTCTTTCCTCTTTCTTAGGTTTTGCATTTCTGGAATATCCGATAGCCGGGAAAATTAGGACTTTCTGGCTCCCTGTAATAATTCGATTGAAATTCTGGTATTTCTGGTCGATTCTTACATGAATACAGTTAAGTAGCACTTTCATCTCTAGATTTTTTAGAAGTTCCGACTTCTAATTTCCAACTTCTGGTTTTCGGCCAATTTTCCTCTATTTCTGAAAATAAAAACGAGAAATACATGCTCATACAGTATTCTAGTATATTTTCATATGTTTAACAATGATTTACGGACAAAAACTGCATCGAAAACGGCGAAAAACAAAGTAAAATACCTAAAATAGGGAAAGGAAGTCCGCAAAATAGAAAACAATAATTTTTTCGCGATTGGTCATTTATTGTCCTTTTATAGGGCCAGTCGGGATGATACGCAGGTTGCTCGCGAATGTTCAATTGTAGAGTCTCTCGTTCGCGGTAGATAAGGAATTGATAGTTTATAGCCATATCTCTGTAATTGGTCAATCACGAATCACCTGTGCATGCTAAGGGAGCGCTCTACCACTGAGCTATACCCCCGCACAAGTTGAAGAACACGGGAGGGCGTAGAGAACAGGGGAGATGTTGCGCCTCACACGTTGAAGAGATCGCAACAAGGAAGGTGGAAAAGACACAATGATGTAGGAATTTGGAATTTTTAATTGCAAGAATTTTTTAATTACAGGAAGCAATCCCAGTTCTTCCTCAGTTACAAAAGAGTTGGGCAAACAAAACTGATGCACACTTTTCTTGTAACAAAAAGTTTTGGGTTGTTAAACAAATAGACAACTATTCCTCAGCGGTTTCTTTTGTTTTATCCGGTTAACCTCTTCTATTGCTCATTTTCCATTAGAAAATTTTGAGAGCTCAAAATTCTAACTCAAAATGAAAGAACCCAAAACGTTGCTCAATTTGTCTACAGAAGTTTTACAAGAAGTGTTAAAACATATGGAAGCTAATAGAAGGTAACTACCGTAAAATTCGAGCTCAATTATCTCAGTAATAATGTAGAAGATATCAAAAATGTGTTTATTGATAAAATGTCAAGCATTTTATAGAAAATATGTTATCAGTTGATTACTTTTTGATATTTTTCACAGAAGCCGAGGTAAAGCAGCTCAACGTTTGAAGTTAGAAAAATCGGCTCTAGTATGAGATGCTGGTTCTTAGAAAAAATTCCGATTCTTAAAAAATTATGGATCCATTTTTTTCTAGGTCATGACCCATTTTTCCAGGTCATGAACCATTTTTTCTAGGTCATGACCCAATTTCTCTTGGTCATAACCCAATTTTTCTAGGTTATCTATATTTACAGATTTTTGAAAATTTAAAAATCATAAATTTTCAGATTCGAGCTTGCCAAACGAATTCCTCTAATGAAGTCTCTTGAAAAGTCAGTACCTCTCAGAATCGACACTCTGGTTTTTGACGATTTGAGAATTCAAATCAACGACACTGAATACAAATTTGGAGTCTATAAGAAATATGACAAAAAAGAAGAAACTCCAGAATTCGTTGAATTTGAAAATAGCCAAGGTGGACTTCCGAATAATATTGATGAATTTGGATTTAATGATTTTTCAAATGAGGTCTTTGTAGAAGAAGGAGATGTTGTTCTAACGGATTCTGAAGATTGGCAAGAATTTTGTGATGAGCAATTGGAGAGAAATGAAGGAGAACGAAGTAATATGAAAAGGATATGGATTCAAAGGACGATTCAGGTGGGTGTAGCTAAAATAGGAAAACAGTAACCGACTGAATGAATTGGGAGGAAAAATGTAATGAAAAAAAGTGAGTGAAACAGAAAAAAGTTTGATTCAGCGGGAAATCTGAAAATTCAAAATAATATTTTTCAGAAAATGAATAGAAATTGAAGAACTTCGATATGTTTGAAGATGTAACTTGAGATTATCAAAAAGTTAAAGACTTTCGAGAAAAAGTTTTGTCAATTTTTCAAAAACTTTCAGGAACAAGAAAAACAAATCGCCCTTCTCCGATCTTCCGAACCCCAAAACCATTTTGAAATTCAAAACCTTCAACAGAAACTTCACAAATCCATCGCAGATCTCCTCGCATTCCAATACCGAGATTCTGGAGTCACTTCCTATATACCGTATACCCAACTGCTCATCACATCGACACGTGGCACCCATATCGAACGTTTTGAGTACAGTGGAAACATCCACGAGGCATTTAGGTGTCTGATTGCTCAGCTTTTTGGAAACCGTGGGCATCCGATAGAAGTTAAAAGATTTGAACCGAATTCAATGATCCTGAGGCTTCCCCTTGGAGTCAAATTTCAAATTGAAGGATTGAAATTCAGCTATGCAGTTCAAAATACGTATGAGAATCTGAAGGATGTAGTAGAAGAGAGCAGTTATCCATTGGAATATGTGGAATTCAATGGAGCTGAATTAGAAGGCGCGAATTTGAGAAATCAAGTGATAAGAGAGGCAAAAGAAGTTGTGATTTCTGGGAAATTGGAAAATGGAAAATGGACGCCTTACCTAGAGAAAATGGGAAATCCCAAGGTCCATGTAAAGGATGGATTTGAAAAGGAACCAATTGACGATTTGTATTTCATCATTTGTTCATGGATGAATAATGGAAACTTCGAGAAGAGAATGTGGACAGTTAAGTTGAATGATGAGCAATCTGGAGCGGAGATTTTGAAAAAGTTGGCAAACGATTTTTATGATGAGGATGTGAAAGAGAATCGGTGAGAAATATTTCATACCGAACATTTTTTTCCTGTTTTAAAATTTTTGGAAATGCTGAAGTTTCTTATTGTCGGAATTTGACTACAGTGTTATTGCTAAGCTCCGCCCACAAAATAGCCTTTTGCAATCATGCAGTAGGTCAAACTTGAGTCCATATCTCATTTCCTGTCTAGGATATTTATAAGTGGTCCACTTATAAAATGTTTACCATGATATCAAAAATATTTTGTCAGTTGACCAATTTTTGATATCTTTCACAGGCGCCGAGATAAACTGGCATAAAGATTTGAGCAATTTGTTTGAAAAATCGCTTCTGAAAACTATCTCTTTCGAATCTTCATATTTTTAATGGGGTTATGCACGTAATAAATTTGCAATAAAAATGGCAAATAAACACACAAAAATACTATGCAGATACGCACATGGGTTCAAACCAATGGGTCAGAAATCGCGCCCCAGTAAACGTGAGATTTTAGAAAAAATTCGCTGCTAAATTATGTGGCTGAGGATCAAACTTTTAAACGTTGCACGAAAAAAGTCACGCGTTGCAACTCGTTGATTAGAACTAATTAGGTCGAATCCACGTCAGCTTGGAAATTATTAAATTTCTTCTGGCCTAAAAGTTATTTGGGGCGCGTTTTTTGACCCGTTGTGGATACGCAAATAAATTAATTTATTTGCATTCAAAAATCAAATTTACCGTAAAACCTCTAATAGAAC